GATCGTAAGAAGGAGTTCCTAAACAAACACTCTCAGAAGCAGATGGGTAATTAAATGAACAGGAAACCAAAAAGTCAGTCAATTCCAAAGGAGAAAACACGAACACGAGGTTTTTCAAACTTTTTTTGCCTGCACCACCTCACTGTGAACCCAATCAATGTAAGAGAGACAAGTGGAATTGTTCTGCTTGAAGCAACGGGCTCAGAAGCCATGCAGGCTCTGACCACACTGTGCCCTCTGCTCTGGCTTCAGGCAGTATGAAGGACTAAGGGATCCTGTTAAGAGTCCTGTCCTACATCAACCACTGGTTGAAGAAAAGACTGGGGATACTGGAACCCATTCACCTGTCCTTGTTCTCTGACTTGGCATCAGATGTTAGAGTTAAAAATAATAATAATTAGTGGTTTGCACCATTTTAATCAGAAACTCTCCAGGTTGGTCATTAAACCTCCTTATAATGAAGACTTTCTGGGTTTTGTTTTGCATCTCTATCCACTTAATATAGGATCAATGACCTTACTTAGCACAGAATAGTGAAGAGGAAAGATAATTAGGGAGAAAAAACAAAGTTAAGGGATCTGTGGTGGCTGAGAATATGGAGAAAACTTTTGTGTGTACAGATTTTGAAGCAAGTGTTTCTGTCTTTGAAAACGAATGGCTTAGAGAGTGGTTCCTTTGTTTATTTATTTTCCTTACTTTTCCCCTTCCTGTTCCCCAAAAGGACAGGAACTCAGGGTATTTATTCTTGCTCAGTGCTGTTTTTTTTTCTAAACATGATCTAAGCAGTCTAAAGTCTCCATAGGAGGAATTGTCACATCTGCGGGGCTGCTTGGGCGTGCCCCCTTTGGTACCTGGAGATCAGGTCACCTACATTAGTAATTTCCAAAATATTTCTTCTAAGGACACCATGGCTTAATACCAGAGATTTCCTTGGCTTTTTTTTTTTTTTTTTTTTTTAAGATTTTACTTATTTATTTGACAGTAGGCAGAGAGAGGAGGAAGCAGGCTCCATGCTGAGCAGAGAGCCCGATGCGGGGCTCAACCCCAGGACTCTGGGACCATGACCCGAGCTGAAGGCAGAGGCTTTAACCCGCTGAGCCACCCAGGTCCCCTTCCTTGGCTCTTTAAATCTAAATAACCGAAGCCACCATTTCTACAAGATGTTGGCTTCTCCTGGCCACTTGAACTCGTGTATTTCCCTTCATTGTGTGAGCAGGACCCACTCCGTCTCTAGATTCTGCTCAAAGACACACTATGCGCTTTTCTCTTCTAGGAATACTGGGTGCCAAGGGCAGGGGTAGGTTACACCAGAATAACAAGGAGCCAGCCATTTTAGGATTGAACTAGACCCCTTCACCTATTAGCAACCCCTCTTTGGGCAAGTTATGTAAATGCTCATTGCTCAGGTTTCTGGTTTGTAAGCTGGGAGTTAAATAAGACCTATACTGGGCTTTACTGAACCTTAGCAAAACCAATCAATCCATTCTGAAACAAACTCTTCTAGAGCATAGGAAAAAAAGATAAGTAACCACTCGATGCATTGTATGGGGCTAGTATAACTTTGCTTTAAAACTATAAACCCATCTGACTTACGAAGATAAGACGAAAAATCCCAAATAAAATATTATCAAGGAAAAACCAAGGATGTTTTAAAAAACACATCAATCCTAGGACTGCAAGGATGCTTTTGAGCCATTAGAAAAATATGGTTAAACACAGTGGATTGACTGCATACAATTAGCTCTATTCCCTCCTGAAACCCCACCAAAATGCCAGTAGAGAAAGAAATGGGAGTATAAATGTGCAAGGACAAGGAGAAGGGAAGAGATGTCAATGGTTTTTGGAGGCAAAAGTGATTAAGGAAGGGCTCTGACTCAACCTAATAGAGAAAGTGAAAATCTAAATGCCTATGGAGGGAATTGTCGATGAGAATTATAGGATTTGTGCCACAAAACTTCTGAAACGCTCAGAAGTTAGTCACTAGGTTCTTAGAAGATGAAGTGATGGGGGAATGGGCTAAAGGAGCAAGGGGTTGGGGAACATATGAATGGAGAAGAGGGTCCTTTGAGTTCCCTTCTCCAACCCAGCAAGACATGAAAGCCTCCTTTGCTGGAGTCATTAAACCAGGGGAGCTCCAGACCTCAGTGTACCAAAGAGGTCTGAGGAATGACCATTTCCTAAGAAGGTAGGAAAGAAGGAAGCAAGCAGGGAAGAAGGCAGGGAGGGAGGGAGGAAGCAAGCAGGGAGGAAGGGAAGAAGAAAGGAAGGATGGAAGTAGGGAAGGGAGAGAGGGAGGAAGAGGGGGAGGGAGGGAAATTAATCATATCCAGCATTTACTGAGTACTTACCACGTGCCAGGCTCTGTTCTAAATGATCAGTATATATTAATTTGTTTGATCTTCATAACAGCTCAGCAAATAGGCCAATAATTGTACAAAGATAGCCGAGACAATTTTTTAAAAAGAACACAAAAACGGGACTTACACTCCCAGATACTGAAACATACTAAAAAGCTATAATAATGTAACAGTATGGTTTGGATGCTAAAATGGACATTTAGGTAAGGAAACAGAAGAATATAGAAACTGACCCTCACAAATGAGAATGAAAGATAAGGATAAAAATGATGTTTCCAATCAGTAGGGGAAAAAAAAAAACAATTCAGTAAGTGGTATTGGGACAATAGACTTTATAGACATTTGGAAGATACAAGTTCCAGATGAGTTAAGGACAAATGTAATAATAAAAACATGTTATAAACTTGGACTCTAAGGAAGGTCTTCTGAACTAAGACTCGCTTGGCAACATGCTGAAGGCAACACTTAGAGCAAACACATTATTTAGCTTTCTGATATATTGTGCTTTTTGTTTTTAATCAGTAGAATGAAGATGGTAATAGAATTAATATGAAGTTTACACTGATTGGCAGCGGGTAAATCTCGTTTGTTACGTCGAACTTTGTGGTTTAATAGTTGCATCCAATTCTGTATACCTCCCTCCTCTGGAGGTATTGAAATTTTATTTTTCCTGCTGCTATGAGCAACACATTTGAGTCTAATATGCAGACATTCCCCCTATGTTAACTCCTGTGTCTCTGCACCTCCACAAGTGATAAGAAAATCTCTCCTTTGATGTTTTGGGCAAGTCCCTAGCCTACTGCATGACTGGTTGTGAATGGACGGTTATGAAAGCCCGTTCAGAAACAGCAAGAGATCTGTGAATTCTGGATGTTCTTTGACTTTCTCCTTTTGAGATCAGTTCCCATAAGAAGAAAATTTTTGGTCTCACCTACTTGGTGGGCGTCCTGTCCACTCCGCTGCCGTAAAGAATGAATGCTTTACCAAGGGAAGTGAAAACATTTTAAGGTCATTCCCCCCCCCCCCCCCCCCCCCCCCCCCCCCCCCCCCGCCGCTCTGGAGCGGTAAGGTAAAAAGATAAAGGCTGCTTCCTTGGTGAAACTGTTCTGTGGGTTATTTGGCTGCTTTTCATCTTCCCAGATAACCCATTATACGACAAAGTAGCTCTTTGCCTAGATAGAGACTCAATTCCAAGTGATAGAATCCAATTCAAACCGACCCAAGAACTTTCCTAAGGGGACAAATCTGCTTCAGTCCCTGCAAAGTCCAAGGCCTGTTGTAGCTTCGGGCGTAGCTGGTTTACCTACCCAGGTAAGGCCTGGCCCCACCTGATCCTTAGGAAATGAACCACACCTGCTCCCCACCCCACCACCAGGAAAGAGGCAGAGCCTTTTTGTCAAGAGAGGAGAGCCCAGAGCTCAAAAAGGCGCAGCAGTGACCTGAGATGTTTCCTGGTTCATCGAGTCCTGCGTGAAGGGCAGCACCATGACCTTCTCCCGTAGGTTATTGCTGGAAGGTCTGGCTTGGTTGTGAATCCACGGTCTGTAGGGTGTCTGTGTCAGCCCTTCTGCTGTGTCTCCCCAGTGAGGCCAGAACACGAGTTGCCCGTCTCTCTTTCCTGTTCTGCTTCCATGTTATTTTGTTGTGATAGGAACTAGGTAACAATCCATATTTGGTTTTGTGTGTGTGTGTGTGTGTGTGTGTGTGTGGTTTAATTAGAACAGGATGATCTACAATATATAACCATCATGAAAGTGGATACTCATGACCTCTAATAGAACTGGCGTGAAAATCTCTTATACATATTCCTGGGCCTATGCAACGTTCCTGAGGCTTCTTCATTCATGCCTGAAGGTCTGCGTGCAATAGTTCTTGATCTGTGTGAACTGTTAGAATTGCCCTTGACGGGGTGGCTCAGTCAGTTAAGCGTCTGCCTTAACTCAGACACTCAGGTCAGAATCCCAACGTCCTGGGATCAAGCTCCTTGTGGACCTCCCTGACCAGTGGCGAGCCAGCTTCTCCCTCTCCATCTGCCCCTCCCCCTGCTTGTGCTCTATTGCACTGTCTCTATTAAATGAATGAATTTTTAAAAAAATTGCCCTGGACCTCAGATGGGGGACTGGACCTCTATTGGTAGGAGGAAAGAGGAAGCCCCTAATTTCTTTGGGAACCACTACCTGATTGCTACCTCCTGGGGCAGAGGATGGGGCTTGGTGGCCCAGCAGACAAATGCGTGGCCCATTTCTGCCCACCCCCACATACACCACCCATCCCCCCACAAACTGTAGCCCCCTCCACCCAGAGAGGTCCCGGAACTTGACAGCCTTCCCCAATTCCATCTGCCTCAGGATAGACTCAGGCACCTTCCATCATTTCTGTGTTCTCAAATTAGGTCTGTTGGTTTTCTCTCCACTCCTTTTATCAGCCCTCTCCACAGTCTCTCCCCTCTGGGAGCCATCCCAATGCTTTGTCTCCAGCACCGTGGCAGGCGGGTGGCTCTTGGTAACCAGGGGCAACCAGGAATCTGTACCAGCTATTTGTGCCGCATTTGTCAGGCACAATCTAGCCGCGAGCTCGGCAGACAGGGAAAATGTGCCGCAAAGGTTTTCTTGCACAGTGAAATATTATCTTCGCTTTTTTTAGAACGACCAGTCCATGGGCGAGATGCAGATAATTGGAGGCGAGGATCTTTCAACACTGGCTGGAAAGGTTTGTTAATATGACTCTGCTGGGGCTGCACTGATGTCATGGGGAAATCAGTGACCTTCATTTCAGGTCAGCTCTCGCAATGCATTTCAGACACTCTCCGGGGTTGGCTAATTCATGCAAATGGATGTGTGAATCCTTTTAATGATTTCTTCCTTCTAAAACACTCCTTTTATAAGGCTTCCAGGACCCGAGGCCGACCAGATCTTTGGTCTCCAACCTTCCTTCCAATCTCATTTCAGACAACCCCGTATTACAAAATCCCTTGGCGGTCCTGCTTTCTTCCATTCTCCTCTTGCTATTCCTCCAGAAAAGGAACCTTTATTTGTATGCTTTTGTGTCTCTCCTCCATGCCTCAGCACCTAGGCCTTGCACTAAGACATTTAAACAGGTTTGTTGAAATATCTAATATTTAAGGAGGAGATTAAAAAGGACTTCTGGAGAGCATATGTTCCAACCTTATGCCTTTTTCACTCCCATGCAAAAAATGCAATCCATTAAATCATGGGGCGAACACCTCCACTTTCAACTTGGCGTTCCAGACCTTCCAATGCTTAATAATTAAGTGAAAATCTGTTTGGATTCTGACATAAGTACATCCATGGAAGGAAGCGTTGTTTCCTAAAGCACCTGGCCTTTGTGGACCCTGAGATTCAAGTTCTGCTGTGAATCCAAGCGACAGCTCTATCGACATCTCTAGTACGCATTATCCTTGAACAACTTTAGCTTTCTGAGTGACAGGAATCAGTCTCTAGCACAAGTTTAATCTCTCATATTTGTGGTTGTTATTGTGATGCAACATCTGAATCGGGTAAAGGAATAGCAGACATTGAACAGAAACATGTATAATAACATTAGGAACATGACAGAGCCCCAAGGGCTCTACCTATACAAACCAGCTTCTTTCCCTCTACTCTTTAGAAAGCCTCATAGCCATCCAAGTGGGGCGTTGCTATCTAGACATAAATTATATTCCACAGAAATTGGAATTAACTGGCTGATGTTAATGCATCACGAGGCCACCATGTGATATTACTTCGTCAGTGCATGAAATAACATCCTTGGGGCGCCTGGGTGGTTCAGTCCTTTGAGCGTCTGACTTTGGATCTCCGCTCAGGTCTTAATCTCATGGTTGTGAGTTTGAGCCCCACGCTGGGCACCACACTGGGTGTGGAGCCTACTTTAAACAAATAATAAAAATAAAAATGACATGCTAGAAAATTAAAATACTCAATTTCCAGAAATTCACAACTTTTCACAACCCTGAAGTGGCCTTTAAATAAGTCACTTTGGGACTTTGCTGGAGGACATTGCCTTACAGGTGTATGACACAAGAGAAATACCGTACCCTGTGCGGTATTACACAATCACCATGGGCTATTACCAGGAGAGTTTGTCAAACTGTCAATTCTAAGAATTCTAAAGGAAGGCCAAGAAAAAAGATGCATATAAAATTGGTTTTTCTTTCCTACTTTTTTAACATCATCTTCTAGTTCATTTTAAAGTGCTCTCCCTCTTACATGAGTATTGGATATTCCCTTCCCTTAAGAGACAGAGAGCAGGGTGGGGAAAGGGTAGTTTCCTACAAAGCACAGAGTGATAGGAGGGGTGATAGTGCTAAGCCTCAGTATCCCTCCCAGAATTACTACAAAGATACCCTCCCACCATGAGAAAATAGAGACCAGGGAAGTTCAGGTGGGAGAGGGAGAAAAATCAGCCAGCAGGAAGTATAAGCAGGAGTCAGCTTTAGTGTTTTATTCCCAAGACAAATGATTCTTCCAGGTTACCAGGTGCTACTCTGTGGTATCTTTACATTCACCTGTATGTGTGTGCATCGATGGATTTCTATATATGCTTAAATAGGTGGTGAGTCGAACCCCTTGAGCTTACAACGCATGGGGTAAATATATCTGAGATGAATCAACATTGGTCAGGCAGGTTCTCAACGTTCACAACAGCTTAGGTGTAAAGGTCACGTATCATTATGCATTTCTGTGAACCTGGACGGACTCACATCAGAGCCGAGTACTTGATGAACCGGTGTAGACCACACTCGGTGTTCTCAAACGTGTTTTCAACCTGCCCACTTCTCTCCATCTTCATGGTAATCACCCGAATTGAGACGTTTGCAGTAGTGAAATGTGGTCTATGGCAGGGCTTTGTGAGCTTTTTTAGGGAAGGGCCAAGCAGTAAATGTCTTTAGAGTTTGAGGGCTGTATAGTCTTTGTTGCAACTACTTATTCTATCACAGCATGAAACCAGCAAACAGCCATAGATAAAATGGAAACAAATGGACATGGCTGTGCTTCAATAAAACTTTATTTATAAAAATGGGCCAGATGGGCCATAGTTTGATGACCTTTGGTCTAGGAACCAGCAAGGTCAGCACCACCTGCAAACTAATTAGAAATGCAGTATCTCAGATCCCACCGCAGATCTTCTGAATTAAGTCTTCCTTTTAACAAGAGGTCTAGATGGTTCCTACGCAAGTGCAAGTTTGGGAAGCACTGGTCTAGGGCCAGACCACTACTATCTCTTCTCCGGGATGCTATGGTAGCCTAACTAGTCTCCTCGAACTTCGGCCTTCATTTAACTCTTGCTACACTCCAAACCATTCTCCAAAAAACAACAGCTAAAGAGATCTTCTTAAAATACACATGGGATCCCCTCACTGAAAGCCTTTCAGCGGCCTCTGAATTAGAGTTGTCAGACTTAGCAAAAAAAAAAACAAAAAAAAAAAACACCCCACCATACACGCACACAAAACAGAGAACAGGATGCCAACAAGCTGAATTTGAATTTCAAATAAACAATGAATACATTTTTAGGATAAGCATGTCACATGCAGTAATTGGAATGTACTTAAGCTCAAAAGCCATTTATTGTTTATCTGAAATTCAGATGTAACTGGGTGTTCTGTATTTTATCTGGGAACCCTACTCCCAGTGTTCTGAGATTATAATCCAACGTCCTTCTCACAGCCTGTAAGACCTATGTGATCTGGCCCTGCTTCCCTCCCACCATCACCGTATGCCTCTCACCCCTCCTCATAGTGCTGTCACCACACTGGTTAAGCTCCTTCCAGCCAAGACCTCGGACAAGCTTGGCTTCCAACCTGGAATCCATTTTCCTCCTATCCGTCAGGTCTCAGCCTCCTGTGTAAGGGAGTCCTTCCCTGTCTCTCTGTCTAAAATGAGCAAACTGTCTTTCCCTTGCACACTCCCCACCGTCCCCATTCATCTCTGTATCAGTACCTTCTTTTAAGTCAAGCGCTTTCCACAGTTTGCAGTGTTTACTTTGAGGCTAATTTTTTTATGTCTGTTTTCCCCACCAGTCTGTGTAAGGTGGGCAGGGACCCTGCCTATATTATTCACCATCCTATGTCCTGCATCATGCACGGTGCCTAGCTGACAGGTTGGATAAATATTTGGTGACTGAGTGAGGGCAGGCTCCTCTTTCTCTTAGAAAGAAACCAGAAAGATGTTTTCAATGAAGTATAGGAAAGGGAGGTCATGTTCAGAGGGAACAGTAAATAGAAGTCCATCTAGCGGGGCACCTGGGTGACTCAGTTGGTTAAGTGGCTGCCTTAGGCTCGGGTTGTGATCCCAGGGTCCTGGGATCAAGCCCTGCATTGGGCTCTCTGCTCAGTGGAGAGCCTGCTTCTCCCTTTCCCTCTGCCTGCCTCTCTGCCTACTCTCTATCTCTCTGTCAAATAAATAAATAAAATCTTAAAAAAGAAAAAAAAAAAGAAGTCTGTTTAGCCAGACCAAAGGACACATCAGCCAGCAGGTTGGGTTTAAGCCAAATGAGAAATGTGTCAGATGAGAGCACGTTGTCTTTGAGAAGCAAAAGGGCTTTAGCGTCCTAAGAGATTCAACCTGGGGACTGGGTTGGTGAATGCTGCACACCTGATGATGGACGAGTGAAAACAATGTCACTCAACGTTCGGAATTTCCTTTCCCTTAAGTAGATGAAGGCAATCATGTGGCCTTATCTGTTTACCCATCCTTCAGCCTTTCAGAGAAAGGCTATGCACTAAGACTTAGAGAGAACTTTAAAAAAATGTTTCAGAGGCCTTCCAGAATCTTTCCATCATGCAGAATGTACACCAGCTTGGGGGAAGAAAAACAAACTTGAAAAGGTGCCCAACAACAGGTGGGTACTCTTTTCAGTGGTTGTAGAGGGAAGTCGAACCGTAGTAAACACCTGCATGGGATGGAAGGGTTGTTGGAGGCCAACTTCTCCCTTACAAAGTGATTACACAATTTCTCAATCAATACATTTACACTGAAGCTGCATTTATCATTATCTTATTACACTGCCATCAACTTGTACACCTTTTTTTAACGCTTGGCACCCCGAGAAGTACTTCAAGAGTCTTCCCACACGAAATTCTTTCCTTGCCCATAAAGAAATCTAGAGAAGGAATGATTCCTTGGGACTGTGACTGTCTTCACAAGTGGAAGTGGTTTTGCTTGGGACCAGAAAGCCTGGGGGAAAGGGAGAGAAAACGCTTAAGGAAAGGGAGGAAGAGAATCATGAAATGAGGGACAAAGGAGGGAAATGAGAGAGCCAGAGGACAAGAGCAGACCAATGTGACCCAAGGAAATCAGCTCAAAATAGAGAAACAATGCTTTAAAACACCAAGAATGTAAATTGGGTTTGGTTTGTAGAATATATTAAATGTCTCAATACAGAGTTTAACCCACTCAGAAAAGCAAAGAGGAGTCGCAAACGTTTTTGAGGAGAAATGACATCAAGAAGTTGTGTTTCAGGAAAGTGAACTTAATAGGAGGATAGAGTAACTGAGGGAGGGAGAGAGACTCCAGGCAGAGAAACCAGTCAGGAGGCCCTATGGGCAGGGCACACACGAGCACTAGACCCACAGGAGCTAAGTAGGGGCCTTGGAGAAGGCGCAGCGCTTACAAAAGGAGCAGTAGCAGAGCTAAATGATGAAATGAAGGAGGGGGAGTTAGAAAAGTTTTGTTTTTTTTTTAAGATTT